ACTTGTATCAGAAACATAGACTTTAAGAGAAAGACTATAAAAAGAAACAGAAAAGGTCATTATATTATGATATTAAGGTCAATTCATCAAGACAAAAAAATTAGAAACATATATGCTCCCAGCATTAGAGCACCTAAATATATAAAACAAATATTAAATAATCTGAAGGAGGAGATAGACTGCAATACAATAATAACAGGCAACTTCAATACCCGACTTTCAACAATCGATCATCTCATCCAGACAGAAAATCAATAAGGAAACATTGTACATAAATTACACTTTAGACCAAATGTACCTAACGGACATCCAACACTGACAGAAAATAGTTTCTTCTCAAGTGCACACAGGGCATTCTGCAGGAGAGATCTTAAGTTAGGCCACAAAACAAGTCTTAACAAATATAAGAAATTGAAATCACATCAAATATCTTACCCAAACACAAGGAAATTAGAAATATATAACAGAAGAAATACTACAAAATTCACAAATATGTGAAAATTAAACATGTTCCCAAACAACCAATGGGTAAAAGAAGAAATTGAAAGGGAAATTTAAAAAATTTTAAGACAAATGAAAATGAAAGACAACATGCCAAAACCTATGAAATGCAATTAAAGCAGTTCTAAGAGGGAATAGCAATAAACACCTACATCAAAAATGAAGAAGATCTCAAATAAACAACCTAACATTATACCTCAAGAAACTAGAAAAGGAAGAACAAACTAAACCCAGAGTAAGAAAGAGGAATGAAATAATAAAGACCAGAGTAGAAATAAAATAGAGACTAGGAAAACAATTTTTTAAATAAATGAAACTCCCAGGCATGGTGGCTCATGCTTGTAATCCCAGCTACTCGGGAGGCTAAGGTAGAAGGATTGCTTGAAGCCAGGAATTTCAGAGCAGCCTAGGCAACATAGGAAGACCTAATCACTAAAAAAAAAAAAAAAAAAAAAAAAAAAAATTAAATTAATTAATTAAAAAAAAATTAGCTGGGCATGGTGGTGCACACCTGTAGTCCCAGCTACTCAGGAGGCTGAGGTGAGAGGATTGCTAGAGCCCAGGAGTTCGAGGCTGCAGTCAACTATAAATATGATCACACCACTACACTCCAGCCTAGAAAACAAAGGAAGACCCTGTCTCTAGAATAGCAAATAAATAGAGATAGATAGAAACAAAACTAAGAGTTGGTTTTTTGAAAAAAGAAGCAAAATCGACAAACTCGTCACTAAACTAAGAAAAAAACAGACAATACTCAAATAAACAAAATCAGAAATGAAAGAGCAGACGTTATAATTGATACCATAGAAATACAAAATATAATTGACTACTATGAACAATTATACACCAACAGATTGGATAACTTAAAAGAAATAAATTCCTAGACATATACAACCTATCAACACTCAATCATGAAGAAGTATACAATATGAATAAACCGAGAGAGAGTGCAAAGATTAAATAAGTAATAAAAAGTCTTTCATCAAAGAAATGTTCAGCACTGGTAGTTTCACAGATCAATTCTACTAAACTAAAGAAGAACTAATGCCATTATTTCTCAAATTCTTTCAAAAAATTGAATAAGGAATACTTCCAAACACATTTTACAAGGCCAGCAATCCCCCAATATCAAGACAGACAAGGACACTACAAGAAAGGAAATTTACAGATCGATATCCTTGATGAACATAGATGCAAAAATCCTCAACAAAATACTAGGAAACCAGATTCAACACATTAAAAGAATCTTTGAACATAAAGAGTGGGGTTTATTACTGGAATACAAGAATGGTTCAACAAACACAAATCAATAAATATGTTACACCATATTAATAGAATGAAAGACGAAAACCATATGATCATTTCAATGATACAGAAAAAGCATTTGACAAAATTCAACAGCATTTCATGGCGAAACTTTCAACAGATTAGGTATAGAAGGAATGTACCTCAACTAAATAAAGACTATATAGGACAAGCCCACAGCTAACATCATACTCAACAATGAAAAGCTAAAATATTTTCTTCTAAGATCAAGAACACCTTCTCTCACCACTTCTTTTCAACATAGTACTAGAAGTCCTAGTCAGAACAATTAAGCAAGATAAAGAAATAAAAGGTATCTTAATAGGAAATGAAGAAGTAAAATTGTCTCTGGTTGCTGATGACATGATATTGTATGTAGAAAACCCTAGAGACTCCACCAAAAACTATTAGAATTGATAAATGAATTCAGTTAAGTTGTAAGATACAAAAATCAGTACTGTTTCTATACATTAACAATAAGTTATCCAAAAAAATAAGAAAACAATCCCATTTATAATGGCAACAAATAGTAAAATAAAATACTTGGGTATAAATTTAAAAAAGGAGATGAAAGATTTGTATACTGAAAATTATAAAATGATGAAATTAACCAAAGAAAACACAAATAAATGGCAAGATATTCTGTGATAATGGACTAGAAGTATTAATGTTGTTAAAAATGTCCATACTACCCAAAGTAATCTACAGATTCCATGGAATCCCCATCAAAATTCCAAAGTCACTTTCACAGAAACGGTAAAAAAAAAAAAAAATCCTTAAAATCATATGGAACTATGAAAAGACCTCAAAGAGCAAAAGCAATCTTTAGCAAAAAGAACAAAGCTGGAGGCATCACACTACCTGATTTTAAAATATACTACAAGCTGTTTTCCAAGACAGTATCGGTTTTGTTTGGGGTGTTTGTTTGTTTGTTTGTTTGTTAGAGACAAGGTCTTTCTCTGTAGCCTGGGCTAGTGTGCAGTGGTGTCATTACAGCTCACAGCAACCTCAAACTCCTGGGCTCAAGTGATTCTCCTGCCTCAGCCTCCCAAGTGGCTGGGACTATAGTCACATAGTAGCATGCCTGGCTAACTTTTCTAATTTTTTTATAGCGTCAAGGTCTCACTCTTGCTCAGGCTGGTCTTTAACTTGTGGCCTCAAGCAATCCTCTTGCCTCGGACTCCCAAAGTGCTAGGATTACAGGTGTAAGCCACCACGCCCAGCCCAGCATCAGTTATTTTTGATGTTAATAATTCCATAGGAATATATAAACTCAAAATAAGTAGGAAGAGAAAATGGAGTAAGAAATAATAGTAATTTTTTTTAAAAAAGCACAGCAAAAACGGTACAAAAGGAAACAAAACAGTAAGATGAAGAAACAAGGTCAAAAAACAACAATCACACTAATATGGTAGTAGGGGAATCGGTTCCAGGACCCTGGCTATACCCAAATCCATGCATACTCAAGTCCCACAGTAAGCCCTGTTAAACCCACGTATATAAAAAGCCAGCCCTCAGTATACACAGGTATTGTATCCCATGAATACTGAATTTTTGAGCCATGTTTGGTTGAAAAAGATCCACATATAAGTAGACTCATGCAGTTCAAACTGTTGTTCAAACGTCAATCGTATAAATGGATTAAATTTACAAGACATAGGGCAGATTATCAAACTTGATTTAAAATATCCAGTTATATGCTATTTTTAAGACATATAACTAAAGCACAAACACAGAGAAGGATACAAATAATAGAAGAGAAAGTGTGGGCAAATGACAACCAAAAGATAGCTAATCATAACTCTGTTAACATAAAAAAAAGTGTCAAAAGACTGTCTGAGGGACTCACTACATTTAATAAAAGAATCAATTCAAAAAGAGAATGTAAATATGTAAGTATATGTATTATATTGGCATGTATATGTTTATACACAGTAAAATTTGCATACTACTTTAGCGGATTCAGAGAATTCAAAGGCCTTTCAAAAGCCCCAAGTGAGGAACCTTTAGCCTAATGCAATATTTGTCTTGTCATTTTTTATATTAATATAATCCTAAAACCCAATAGTAAAACAATGTCCAACTGAGCATCCCTAATCTGAAAACTCAAAATCTGAAATGCTCCAAAATTTGAAACTTTTTGAGCGTTGACATAATGCCACAAGTAGACTATTCCACACCAGACCTTACATATGAGTCGCACAAAATTATTAACAATATTGTATAAAATTACCGTCAGGCTATGTTTATAAGGTGTATACGTTTAGCCTTGAGTCCCATTCCCAAGATATCTCATCATTTATATGCACATATTCCAAAATCTGAAAAAATCTGAAATCTGAAAACATTTCTGGTATAAAGCATTTCAGAAAAGGGTACTGTACCTGTGTAACATATTGTGTTAGTCACTGGCTAGACCACATAAGAAAACTCGAATTATAAGGTAAGGTCTGAAATTAAAATCTTCAAAAGGATCCTAAGAGAGCATTAAATGTTTTATTTAAAATATTTTATTTTCACAAATAAAAGATTAAAAATGTTATTAAGTGTAATTACTTGAAAAAATATTCTTCCTTAAAAACTACTTTTGCATTACTGACAAATACATTATTATTTTGAACCGAAACAACTAAAAAAAAAAAGCAAGCTTTCTATAAGTTTTTTGTTTGCATGCAAACTGAGTGACAACATGAAGACAGTATCTCTTATCATGGCATCAAAGCAGAAATTTTTATTTTTAGTAGTTAATTAACTGATTCAAAATGTAAGATTAATGTTTTCCACACAAAAAGGAAAATCTGCTTACCAAGTCTTACCAAGTATGATGAGTAAGAATTTTATTTCACTTTACCAGCATAATCAAACATATTATATTTATATTTGATTTGGTTATCATTCCAAACACATACATTGATCCCCTCAAAAGTTACACATATAAAGCCAAGGGTAAAGTGTATAAGGAACTGGTGAAAAATAATTTCTTACAACTATGAAACATATACAAACACTGGTACCAGGGAACAAAACTAGATGTCTTAACTCACAACCTAGATTTTACATATAAGCTACAGATATCCACTTTCACAGAAATATATTTTAAGTTGAACATGATAGACAAATAGATTTGCATCATAAAATATTAGCCACTTCCAATACAAATCTTCCATATTCTTGTCAAGAGATTGTGCTCTTACCTGTAGTTTGGAAGACTTCATTCATCAAAGCTTCATTCACTGCTGAAGTGTTGACATTTCCAATATGAGACCAACTTTGATATATTGCTTGCAACAGAAGTGTCTGTGCTCTTGTAGCTTGAATTGTGAGATTTGGAAGTTCAAATATACCTTCAGTTATAGCAATCTGAGATCTTTTGGTCCTGCATAAGAAAATAGAAAGAGTAACAATACAGCAAATAGCATTCACAAACAACATACTACGTGGACTAGGTTGCACAGGAAGAAAGGGGATACATTCAAAATGTTTTAAAACTCAATTAAATAATATAGATAAAAAATTCTGGCTGGGCGCAGTGGCTCACGCCTATAATACTAGCACTCTGGGAGGCCAAGGCAGGTGGATTGTTTGAGCTCAGTAGTTCGAAACCAGCCTGAGCAAGAGCAAGACCCCGTCTCTACTAAAATTAGAAAGAAATTAATCGGACAACTAAAAATAATATAGAAAAAAAAAACTAGCCGGGCATGGTGGCGTATGCCTGTAGTCCCAGCTATTCGGGAGGCTGAGGCAGAAGGATTGCTTGAGCCCAGGAGTGTGAGGTTGCTGTGAGCTAGGCTGACACCAAAAAAAAAAAAAAAAAATTCTGCTAACTTTACATCTATTTCAGAAACTTTCACAATAATAATGAAATATAAAAATACAAACTAGGATAATGTTCATATATACATATGTACACACATATATTCTGCTCAAGCAATTATAATTTTTCCATCAAGTCAATCATCAAAAATAACAATCAAAATAATACCAGTTAACACTTATAGAGGTTTTACTAGCAGATCTGCATTGTTCTAAATGTCTTGTATCTATTAACTCATTTAATTCCATCATGATAGACATAAGGGAGGTACTATATTTACACTCATTTTGTAGATGGGAAAATTAAGACACAGATAAATTAAGGTATCAATGTCATACTACTAATATGTAAAAAAAAAAAAATTGGAATTTAAATCCAGGTGATCTGATCCAGAGCCCTCTATCTTATACTGTTTCTCACAAGTATTTACAAAGTATTTATATTATACCCAGGTCTGTACTTGACAGTAACATGGAAAATTATTTTCAAAATTCCTGCCCTGGAATAACTAATTCACTCATGCATTATTCATCTGGTTTTGCCTATAAATAAAGCGTTTCACATATTTAAATTTTCCAAATAATGAAGCCTCAAAGTAAGGAAATATTTAAATATGTCTGTGAGCAACAAGTTGAGACTGAAGGTTAATAAACACAGGAGATAAAATAAAAGAACAAAAAAACCAAAAGATACGAAAACACATATTTGGATGTTACTACAGTAGACTCAATCACCCTGCTCTTTCCTAAACCCCAGAAACATCCACTATTTATCATTTTCCCAATCATAATCACATATGAAGAGATGTCCGATACTCACATATGAAGAGTATTGGACATCTCTTGTATATCACCTCAAAAGCTTCTCAACCCACCTCTTATTCTAGCCACTGCTATGGAGACCAATTCGATGTAGGCTTTCACTGGCATTGCCTACGGTTACTCTGCAGTGTGAGACACCAGTGGAAACTACTTCACCTTCATGTATGCAGAACATGGAAATGTAGGGATAAATGCTTCCCCTGGCTAACAATTGGGAGACGCATTTCTTAAGTCTCTTAGGAGGTCCCTGGAAATCAAGGACCAGGAAGGAAAATACAGAAATAATGGAACAAACCTCAATGAGCTGTTGACAATATCAAGCAATTTCAAACAGGTGTACTTGAAGTCCAAGAAAAGAGAGTAAGGGGACAAAAGGAAGAAGGGGACAAAAAGAATTAAGCAAATTGATATAAATTTGAAGGAAACTATAAATCCAAAGATGTAATAAGTTCAACAAATCCCAAGTAGAACAGATTTAAAAACATACCAAAGCATATTATAATCAAATTTCTGAAAACTAGTGTTACAAAGAAAAATCTTAAAGGCAGGCATAGGGTAGAAAAATACATCACATATAAAGAAACAAAGATGAACATGAAAGGAGACTTCCCATCAGAAACAATGCATAACAGAAGACAACAGAATAACACTATTGAAATGCTGAAAGAAAAAAGAAAAACTGTCAACCTAGAATTCAAAATTCATAGAAAATATTTTTCAAAAATGTAGGCAACAGAGCCTTTTTATGACTAAAAGCTGGGAAGAATTCTTCACCAGCATACCTGCATTGCAAAAAATGTTAAAGAAAACATTTCAGGCTAAATGAACATGATATCAGATGGAAATCTTTGTGGCTCTATACAAAGAAGTGTGAAGAGTGCTAGGAATGGTAAATATATGGGTGAATTTTTTTAAAAAAGAAGAAAAAATAAATATTCTTTCTCAATATCTTCTAAAGAGATTAAAGGATTAACTGTTTAAAGCAAAAATCATAACAGCACATCTCAGCGTTTGTAACATATGTAAAAATACAATGTAACATGTAAAAACACCAACAGACCAAAGAACATGAGGAGGAAAATGGACGTATAGTTCGAGGTTTTTATGCAATGTGTGACACAATAAAATATTATTTGAAGGTAGCTGTGATAAGGAAAACACGCAAACTCTAAACTTTATAACAACTAAAGCTACAAAACAAAAAGAGCTAATAAAGGCAATGGTGAAGATGGAACAGAATAATAATGGAATAGTGGAGATGAAATACAATCAATCCAAATGAAGTTAGGGAGGAAAAAAGGAAGAAACAAACAGCACATGGAAAATTAGAAAAGCAATAGGAAGATGACAGACTTAAACCAAAAATATAAATAATACTGTTAAATCTGAAAGATCCAAGCATACCAATTAAAGGCAGAGAGGTGATCAGATCCACTTTAAGTAAAAGAAGATAGGTTAGAAGATAGGGGTGGGAGTGAGTAAAGGGATGGGGGGAATAATGAATGTACATCTAATAGAAAGAAAGTTATATATTAATATCAAAGTAGACTTTGGAACAAAGAATATTACCAGAGATATAGAGGGACTTTTCGTAATGATAAAAGAGTTAATTAGGTTTGTATGTACCACAGACCTTCAAAACATATAAATTTTTTAAAAGACAACTGAAAGGGGGGAGGAGCCAAGATGGCGGATGAGACAAGCATCCAGTCAGAAGGTCTCTGCAAAAAAGATGAATTTTAGAAGGAAGAGAAAAAAAATAAGCGAGCAGAGAAACACAGATCGGGTGAGGGTCAGAAGGAAGGGTGCCTAAAACTAAGGAGACTCCACGGGAAGACGTTGCGGAGGAGAACTGGAAGGAGAAAGGTCCCGAGAGGCTTGGAGACCAGCGACAAGGGTAGGTGGAGCGGTTAACTTCCCCCTCCCTTGCATCTCGGACTGCTGGTGGCTCCTGAGCGGCTGGAGAGACCTGCCGACACCAGCCCAGAGACGGCTGCTGCCAGTGAGCAATGGCCTCTTGTGGGCTCACCGCCCCTTCGGGGCACCTACCGGGGCGCAGACCCGAGCCTAGCGGCAGACGCCATAGCACTCCATTCTCTCTTTCCCCCTCCCTACCCGTGCGTGCCCAGAAAGACAATTTAACCATCACACGGAGGCATCTCCAAGGAACGGGACCTTTCCTTCTGGGGCCCTACAACAGACTGAGGGGTACTCAGACTGCGAGTTCCCTACCTGCCAGCCCGCCCAGGTGCTACTTGCCTGGGGACTCCAGGAGAGTGGGGCAAATCCCGAGGTGGAGTGAAATCGATCCAGCTTGGGCACCCTGTAGGTGATTCAGGACCAGCACCTCTCCCCCTGGCAGCGTCAGGGATTGATCTCCAGGGTCCAAGGGTCAGGCCTGCAGACCAGACCCCGTACACCCAGGTCACGATTGCACTGCCCTGGGGCATGGAGGAGAGATCTGTGAAAGAGCCTACTGAGGAGTGTGTGCCTTCAGGGGCAGATCAGCGTGCCTCACAGGCAACCCTCCTCCTAAAAGAGGGCTGTGCACCCAGGTCAGGCTACGATCCTGGGTAGGGAACCTCCCGGCCCACGTCACAGCCAGGGGAGATCCATCGACGTGAGGCCCCGCTTGCTGGTAGAGGCTTGGGAAAGGCCATGGAGAGGGGGAGAGTGGAGGAGAGTGAGACCTGCTCCAGAGTGCGCATCTTGGACAGCTCCAGCTCCCAAGCCCAGACTTTCAGCTGAGGGGACCCATTTCAGCCCCTCCCAGCAGCTTTGCACAGAAACAAAGAGTAGACCTTTGAACATGCTAGCAGCGGTTGTGGAGCCTGAGGGCAGGCTTGCCCAACCCAGCCCCACCCAGACTCACTCCTCCCACTGAGGGGGAGAAGAAGGACACACTGGGAAATCCCAGGGCCCCATCCACCACCCGAGGCACAAGAGGGCCTCTCTAGAAGAATAAGAGCTAGCTACAGGACCCAAAAACAGCACCACAGCTCGCTCTTCCCCACAAGTGCCACCTACTGACAGGGAGGTCATCCTGCACACCCTTTCACTGCATCTACTAATTCATCATAAAGGGTGTGTTCGAATCTCACCCACAAACACCACCTACTGGCTCAGAGACTAAACAGGGCGTATCATTATCTAAACAAAAATTTAAAGGCAAGAAGGAACAACTGATCCAGATGGGAAGGAACCAGCGCAAGAACTCTGGAAGTATGAAGACTCAAACGGAAAGCACACCCCCAAAGAGGAGCAACAGCTCCCCACCAATGGACATTAACCAAACCGAGAGCATTAAAATGACAGAAGAAGAATTTCAAACATGGATTGCAAGAAAACTGAATGATATCCAAGAAAAAATGGATCACCAACACAAAGAAACCACAAAAAAAGTCCAGGACTTCGAAGAAAAATTCACTAAAGAAATTGAAATATTAAAGAAAAATCAAACCGATCTCCTGGAAATAAAGGACTTATACAGGGAACTACAAAACACCGTGGAAAGCCTCAAGAACAGGGTAGATCAAACAGAAGAAAGAATCTCAGAGATTGAAGACCACTCTTTCCAATTAAATAAGTCAGTCACAGAAATCGAGCAGAAAATTAAGAGAAAAGAAAACCAAACCTGAGGGTGATAAGGGTTCCGGAAGGTGAAGAAGAAAACACTCAAGGGCTGGATAAGCCATGTGAAGAATTAATAGAGGAGAATTTTCCAGGCCTTGCTAAAAATCT